GGTTTCTCCCAATGTGACTAAACCCTGCTCCGAAGTGGACACTGTATTCCGAAAAACCCACAAAACACTATTCCAGAATTGTTCTGACCTGCATGGAGGAAAGTAGCACTAGAGACTTCTTCTGTTATTAGAGGCTTTCTTCACTAGTATTTAATTCTGGTTCTGTAAAGTCTGGCTCATTTTTGTGATGCAGGCTCCATTTTACCCTTGAATTACTTTTACGATGACTTTTTCAGTACTTTTAATTTTGACATGCTGCAAAGTCATCAGTTTCCCAGTTTAGAAGTCACAGAACTTTTACCTTTGAGAATAAAAAAGGGAAATAGGGATGTGGAAAGAAGGAATTCAGCAGTGTACCTGTGACCCAACTGGTTCATTTCAACTGATCCATCAGAAATGGATTAATATCGACAAAAGCTGTTACCAAAATAAATCAGTCTCAAAGGTGCTACTGGATTCCTTCTTTCCACCACCACCACCCCTTTTCTTTTTTATGTGGTGACATGGCTCTTTTAAATAACTGCTGCAAACACAGATACTTTGTGTTTAACCTTAAGCATTCCAGTAATCCTTATGGAACATTCAATTATCCGTATGGAGAATGAATTATAAAAATAATTTATTAAATAGGAGTTCAATATAAAGTTAAATATAACTTATTTAATACATCTAAATCCTGACTGACCCTTACTAACTCCCATCTCTCACTCATATTGAGTATTCAGCATTCATATTCATATTCAGCATTTGTATCTTTCAATTGACTAATCTCTAACATTGACAGATTCAACTGTCACTCACAATTTCTATCTCTAACACTGACTACCTCTCTTAATCTTTAACTCATATTTCTAACTCCCTCAACTAGGACTTTTTCTTCAGTCATACAGAGACTGTGAAACAACCTGCCGGAAAAGAATTTAAAACAGCATTAAGGCCTTTCTCTTCCAGCTGGCCTATCCAGATTATTTTTAAATTTTAAATTTTATGAATGAATTTTAAAATTGAGATTATTTTAATATGCTATGGGTCTTGTTTATTCTTTTAAGTTGATGTATATTTTAACAGATGTTGTCTTTTTAATTGATACTGTTTATTATTTGTCTGTCTGTTGTTGTTCCCCTGTTTATTATTTGTCTGTCTGTTGTTGTTCCCATCCTCAACCCAAGGGGAAAGGTGGGAAATAAATAAATAAATTTCTCATAAGTGTTGAAGTTTCCAGTCTAGTTGTTTTTTTGTATACAGAATGGTGAGGGTACATCATTTTGTCTTCCAACATAGCCAGAAAAATCTCTTGTGCCAACCAGCCGGATTATTTTTATGCCCTGCTTATTTTGCTCTCAGTTATTGGGGCTGTCCATACTTTCATAAAATTAGGGTACTCTGTAAGTGAAATTTAAGCATAGAAATAAGATCTGTGCTTAAATGCTACATGTCAGATCGCTGTTAAAAGAATAGGAGAAGGACCAGTAGTAAAAGTGGGCAATCCTACTTAGATTGGTATAGAAAAGGCACCATACATAGAAAATAGTACAGATTACTCATGAGAAGTTGTAAAGAGGAAGATGCACTGCCATCCCACTGGGAACAACCAGAAGAGAGTTGTATCTGGTCTTTAACTGGACACCAAAGGTGTCTTCCACATTACAAAACTGTACCACATGGACACAACTTTAACTACTACCAAGGCTTGATTTTATGGAATAGTGGAATTTGTAGTTATGTGAGCTTACTTACAATTTGCTGCCAAGGAACTGTAGTATCTCAATCTGCAAATCCTAGGGTTCCGTAGGATTACACCATGATAGTTGCAGTGGTATCAGTGCAACTGATTTACCCCTCATTATAAAGGTGAGTGGCAATTGTCACCTTTAACTTGCCATGCCTCATTGTCCCAAAGACTGGTAGCAGATGATTACATACATTGCCACAAAGGAAAAGCAGAATAAACATTAAACAAATAAATACAGTTACACAGCCCCAATGAATAAAATGACTGATGATGCTGATGCGACGCTGATACTTAAATGACTTATGAAGTGTAAGATTCTTCTACCCTTGGCTCTATAAAAAAGTACATTTACCAACATAACATATAAAGATGATTTGAATTAGCCCAGCCGTGAAAGGAACATCATTTCCCACTTTGAACAGATGATGAATAAATAATAGCCAGCGCTTCCCCTAATGAAATCATGGCTATCCCAGGAGGCAGTTCTCTTGCCACAGGCAGGATGCCAGAGCAGAGTATATATCAGGCAAAACCTGGGCGCAAAAATCTGGTCTCAGCTGAAATGCATCACAGGTGTCAGTGTTTAGGTCCCATGGGTTTGGCCTGTAGGCTCTGTGAGAGAACATGGATGAACAAAGTCTATGTTGGAATGAACATAATAACCTGCATTATAGAAGGTCAGTCTCAGTGCTGGATTCTCATACAAGCTAAATGAGCTACACCAGGGGTAGGCAACCTTTCCCCTTTAAAGGCTGAGGGGCTTCAGCTCCCAGAATCCCAGGAGCTATTGGCCAACATGGGACTATTGGCCAACGTGGCTGAGGCTTCTGGGAGCTGAAGTCCCTCAGCCCTTAAAGGGGAAAGGTTGCCTACCCCTGAGCTACACTTTAGGGGTTCAGTTTATGAGTGACCTGTATATACCGCACTTTTAAAAAAAAGTTTTACATAATTACTACAATAATTCACTTGCCGATCCTATGGGCCTCTTAAATCCTATACAGTTCAAGGCAGTGATTCCCAAACTGTGGTCTCCCAAGTGTTTTGGACTTCATCTCCCAGAAACCCCAGCCATCTTGGCCAGCGGTCAGGAATTCTGGGAGCTGAGGTTCAAAATCTTGAGGACCAAAGGTTGGAAAACAGTGGTTTAGGGTCTCAGAATGTCTAAATCTGGCTGTCATTAGACTATTGGCCTATCTAAGCCAGTTTGGTCTACCTGGCTGGCTATGACTTCTGAGGCTCTCAGACAGCATGTCCTTCTTAGCATTAGTACAAGGACAGGGATGAGCCACTTTGGCAGGTCCAGAGGACAGCTTTCTACCCTTGGAACCATCTAGCGGCCATATGAATGGCCAGGAATGTCAAAAACAAAACAAAACACTACAAATGACCAGATATTCACTTCCACTTTGGTCAAACTCAATAAACAGAGCAAAAAAGGGACTGTGACCTACTTAAAAGATGAATTATTACTCTTGGAGATTTCCATGAAAGGTATTTTACCTCCTCCACACACTTTTTTTGCCAGAACAGAGTTGTTGGGGGGGTCTGGGTTGGTCAGGGCCCACAAAGCACACCTGTGGGCCTTACACAGCATTGCTCCCCACCCTGAATAAGAGAAGCTTGGGACTGAATTAGAGAGCATCTAATGCAGGTCAGTTGCTCTGCTATGGAGCCATGGCCTTCTCATTTTGAATACTTTCACCCAGGTGTCATTCATACAGTGAAAATAATCTTGGTAGAATCTGGGTTGAATCTTTGTTGTTCAGGTGCATTTTGAATGCATCAGATTAAGGGGAGGGAGGGCTGCCAAAGAGACCACTGAACCCAGAATAATCAATCTTGGATTTTTTTCCAAGTTTTCCAAAAAGATCTGCATTGTTGGCTATGTGAATAACCAATGTGAATAGACCCTGGGATAAATCAGGATAAAACTCTGCGTGCCTTGAAAGTGTTCCACACCGTTGAATTCATCTTCATTTGCAGTGCTGACATGTGTGAGCTACAGAACTTGCAGAAATTTGCATGCAGCCAATAAAAAAATAGTGTAAAATGACAGAAGTGTATGAACTTACAAGAACAACAACAAGGAAGTTATATAGAATTGCGACATAGGTTAACAATTGTATAGTATTGCATACTATAAAGTGACTTTATATACATGCTGTGAACTTTTTGGTTTTTTATAATAAAATTTATAAATAGTAAAAAAAAAAAATAGTGTGAACAACAAAACCAGAATTCGATTGAGATTATTCGCCTAGTCGTGCTAAAAAACAACGTCTGAATGACCCTCACAGGGCTAGCCATTAGGCAAAGTGAAGGATCTGCCTCAGATTTTGCAAGCCATGAAAAGGCAGCATATAAATATATTATTATGGTATTTTACTGCCAAGGAGTGGGTGACATATTTGTGAGATTTAGCGCCTCAGGTTCCAAAATAATTGAGCAGCCCTGGATGCTATGTACCTTGACCTCAAAATGGTGATGGTGCATACCTTCCAACATTTCACAGAGGAAAACTGGGTCATATATGGCCAAGTGACATCAGGGTGTGGTCACGGTAAGACAAACGGGATAAATCTGTTAATGAGGAGGCTCACACAAACTAGGAGAGACTGCAGCAGTTTGCTTTTGCTTGAGTCTACAGGAAAGGAGAAAACACAATTCTCTCCTCTCCTTTCCCCCTTGCTGAATTAATTAACTATTTTTGAACTCTGAACTCATTTCACACTAATAGAAGCAAGCTGTGGACAAAGGGTGAAAGTGGGAAGAGGAGAGAGAAACTGAGCCATTTTAAAAGCAGCTGAAAAGTGGGAAGACTGAGGACTGCCCCTGCCAAATTGGGACAGGGAGGGTATGGGTGGTATTATGTGCTGCTCTGCCTCAGGTGGCAATATGTCTCTGGCTAATCTTGCTATCAACACACACATACATACACCAGCATGTAGGAGGTGGCTGTGAGTTTCCTTTGAAGCAGGCTGGTTATGATTCTGTAGTGGCTGGGTTTGTTTTTGTTGTCATTTTAGAGGGATGAATTGTTAGTTTTATTTTCAATTAGGTTTCTTTTTAATTGTATCTTAATCATTTTGTGCAGTGGGAATAGCAGTCACATTGGACTTAGCATAGGTCTGTGGCTCAGTTTTATGCAATCCCGGCATGAAACCTTGTGCTGGAGACCATCACCATCATGATGCCTATCAGCAAACTAACTGTTATTTCTAGCAAGTTATGGGAATCAATTTCAACTTCCTAGTAGCAGTAATTCTCTAGTATTATGGCGTAATGGTTTGAGTGTTGGACTACAACTCCGGAGACCAGGGTTCGATTCCCAACATGGCCATGAAACATACTGGATGATCTTAGGCAAGTCCCACTCTCTCAGCTTCAGGGGAAGGCCATAGCAAACCTCCTCTGGACAAATCTTGGCAAGAAAACCCCATGATAGGTTTGCCTTAGGGTCACAGTAAGTCAGAAATGGCTTGAAGACACACAACAACAATCACAACAGCAACACAATAGCAACAATGAAGTAGTGAGATAATATAGTGTACAGATATGATGTTAGGAAGAGCTGTATCAGATCAAAGGCTTACCCAGTCCTCAAGGCTATTCACACAGTGGCCAACTAGATGTATCTAATATAAGGAACCCTGGTGACACAGTGGTTAAGTGCCAGTACTGTAGCCACAATGTTGTGAGTTCAATCCAAGTGCTTCAAGGTTGACTCAGCCTTCTAACCTTTCGTTGGTCAGTAAAAATGAGTACCCAGCTTGTTGGGGGCAATTGGCTTACAGATTGTAAACCACCTAAAGAGTGCTGAGATAACTATTAATCAGTATAGAAATGTAAATGCTATTGCTATTGCTATTGCAAGATGTTCCAAGGGGAAGCTCACAAACATTCAAGTGAGGGTAATTGAACCCTCCATCTCACATTCCCCAGTAGCTGCTATACAGAAGGATTATGATGCTGTGGATGATATCTGTCTATCTATCTATCTATCCATCCATCTAACTGGCAGTCATAAATGGTCTTACCCACCATAAACATATCCCATCACAGGTTGATAGCCATAACTACTTTTTATGCCAGTGAACTGCTTCACAGTAATTTTACAGTGTGAGGGCGGGGAAGAGAAAGGAGAGTCTTTGGTTTGATGGGCTCTCAAGGCATTCTTCATGTTTCTTTCTAAGGTGATGTCTCCTCTGGACAGTGAGATATTTGAAAGAGATTTGATAGGTATAGTCACTTGTACATTGCCAAAGAAGAGGAAATGCATCTCCAAAAGACAGGGCAAATGGGGACGCAAACTTGTATGCACTGATTTATAAATCTAGATGAAGATTGAAATAATTATTGGAAACTGAAATTGAAATACATTACATCTCCTTGGAGAGCTTGACCACTAGGTCACCTGTGGTCACTTGCACTCCAGGTATATACTTGGATGGGCAGTTTTTTTAAAAAAAAATCTCTCTGATCTCCCTTTTTATAGTTCTCTATTACCCCATGGGCTGCATGCAGCCCTCAAGAGCCATTTTTGTGGTCATTTTTTTCCAAACAGAATTTTTGTGTCCCAGATATCTTCTGGGAGATTTGGGTGGAATGTTCACCCCATTTTGAGCCCAGCAGAAGCCCTTTTTTACATAAAACAGAAAGTAAGCAAGAAGTCACTTCTTATTACTTTAAAAGCCTCTCCTGGGTCTAAAAAGGCCCAGGGGAAGGGACAAAGACATGGCAAAAATGCCACCACAGTCCTCAGAGGGCATATGGGAGCATTTAGGGAGTAGAAAAGGTGTGTGTCTGTTTGCAGAGGGTGCAGTGGAAAGTGTTGCCCTCCAAGGTCTCCAGGTGTGTATGTGATGGATTCCACTAGCCTCCCATAGTTGCCCACCACAAAACTCTAAACAGGCCATATGTTGTCTCTAGAAAGATATGTTCAAGAGATGATGTTACATTACAACATTCCAATAAAAACTCGCTCCAGCACCCCGCAGTCTTTTGTGGAGCAGAGAAAGAAAGCTGTAGCCATTAGTTCAAATGCAATACCCACCTTGGAGATTGAGACGTCGCTAGGAGATCCAAATGGCACTTGGATTATGATGGATGTAAACAACAGCTTGGCCCTCCCATCCCTTTGCCTGCAATTTTCAGAACAATTATTTATGCAAAAGTGATGCACCTCGACCCTTGTGATTTATTAAAACCCAACGGGAGCCACTCCCTCCACTAATTCCAATGCAGGTTAATGGAGCAGAAAAATTAAGCTGTCTACACATCAGAAGCCCCTTCTGGTCTAGTAAATGTCATTCCTGATAGAGAAAAGAGGAGTGGGGTGGGAAGAATTTTTTATCAAATGGCAGAAAATTGTTGAAAAGCAAAGAGAGCCTTGAAAGGATTATCCCTTCTCCCATGTACCTTTGTTGTTGTTAACTGCGAGCAGATCTCAACTCATGGAAGCCTGTGATGAGACCTCTTCAAGCCTTCCTATCCTCAACCTCTCTGCAGGTCTGTGGCCTCTCTGATTGAGTTCAACCATCTGGCATGTGGTTTTTCTTTCTTTCTTTCTACTGCCCTCTACCCTTCCTAGTATCATTGTCTTTTCTAGTGAGTCATGTCTTCTCATGATGTGGCCAAAGTACAACAGCCTCAATTTAGTCATCTATAGTCTTCCAGAGAGTTCTGGCTTGATCTGTTCTACAGCCCATTAGTTTGTCTTCTTGGCCATCCATGGTATCTTCAGCACTCTTCTCCAGCACCATATCTCAAATGAATTTATTTCCTTTCTATCTGTTTGCTTTATGTCCAGCTCTATCCATACCTAGTGATGGGAATATGATGGCTTGGACGATCCTCACTTTAGCGTTCAGAGTTGTATCTTTACACTTTAGGATCTTGTCCAGTTCTTTCATAGCTACCCTTCCCAGTCCTAGGGGTCATTCACACATACTTTTTTGAAGGAAGAGATTTGCATCTCTGTGCCGATTCAGAACTACTGATACAGAATCACGATCAAATCTCTCCATGCCATTTTAACCCTGCTGCTGTTCACATTTGCCACTGTAACAATTTAAAATGGAGGTGCCTTCATTTCCAGGAATGATGCAGTGCGAGCCGAATCGATTAGGTAGCATAGTCACACAACTGAAGATGTGGATCGTTGTGGTTCTGTAAAAAAGAATCACTAAGAGGTATGGTGCCAAATGCACCGGCTTAAGTAGGCTTTTCAGTCATTTCCCCCCCCCCCCAAAAAAAACCTGCACTAAATGCAGTCAGGGCAAATGTAAATTTCATAGAAATAAACCAGTTCCACACAGGTTTATTTCCGTAGTGTGAATGGGGCCCTAGTCTTCTTGAGATTTCTTGACTGCAGTCTCCATTCTGATCAATGTTTGATCCAAGGTATGGGAACTCTTTTGATGATTTCAATTTTCTCATTATCTAAGATAAATTCTTGTAGGTCTTCCATGGTTATTATTTTCATCTTCTTACTGTTCAACATCAAGCCTACCCTTGGCACTTTCCTCCTTCTTCAGTAATTTGCTCCTATTCTTTGTTGTTTTCTGCTAGAAGTATTGCACCATCTTAGGTTGTTAATGTTCCTTCTTCTGATCTTTACTTCTCCTGTCTCTGAGCCTAAGCCTGCTTTATGTACAGTATTTTCTGCATACATGTTGAATAAATAGGATGACAGAATGCAGCCTTGCCTGACCCCTTTGCCATTGGGAACCATTCTGTTTCCCTGTATTCAGTTCTGACAGCAGCTTCTTGTCCTGAGTACAGGTTAGGAATCAGGACGATCAAATGTAGTGGTTCTCACATTTCTTTGATAGCTTCTTGTGATCTATGCAGTCAAATACCTTGCTATAGTCAATAAAGCATTTGCAGATTTTCTTTTGGAATGTACATATACACACTTAAAACATCTGCCCAAAAGGATTTTGCTGTTGTTGTTGTTAACTTCCTTCAAGTCAACTTTGACCTATAGCGACCCTAAAGAATGAATTACATGTCATCATATGCCGATTAGTTCCCAGCCTTTAATGCATCAAATGGATTAACTAACTAACTAACTAACTAAGGGCCGCTGAAGATGTCGCAAAGCGCCATCTTGGAGGCACGGAAGGGGAGGGGCAGCTGCACGATGGCCGCCTCAACCCCTCCCCAAGGATGTAATCAGGGCACGCGCCGTTACACACGGCGCGTTTCCTGAATACATCCTCCCAGCGCAGCGTCTTCATGCACTGCGCCGGAAGAGGCGCAGAAAAGCCACACAGCGGCTTTTAGTGCTCCTTTCAAGGCCATCAGAAGGGAGGATTAGGGCCAAGGCATGGGCAGCCTCGGCCCCAATCCTCCGCTTCCCAGGGCGGCCCATGGCCGCCCATCTGCATCCCCCCTAAACTACATTGAAAGTTGTTCCAGAAATGCTCCAGACATCAGTTGGTGAAGAGTTAATTGAGAAGTGTGTAACTGTCACAACCAATGTCTAACTGTCATTTGTTGACACAACTCTCCTAATACTATCAAGAGATGGAGTGCGCCTAGTCTGTGTTTTTTCCCCTTGTTGTTAAAAAGATTTTCAGTGGAAAGCAAAAAACAAAGGCAGAAGAAGTGGTGTGGAAACATGGAAGGGTTATGAAAGGAAGACAAATTATTTGGAAACATGCCCATGCTCCTGGTAAAGTATGCTGAATGAAACAGGGCAACCACACAATACAAGTCTCATCCTGGAATAACAACTCCCCTCTCATATATGTGCCATTGGGCAATAGTGGATTGATGATACTGATTCCAGAGTCCCTGAAAACCAGCTAAGATACCCGGTCGATCCTCCATGTATATCTGATGCTGAGGCCCTTCCCACTGGACTTGTGTGAACTGTAAAAGCAGACATAGCCTTAAGACATGTCTGTGCTCCCATGCTGTCACAAATGGTGAGGATCAACTGAAGGGGCTGGGTGGAGGGAGAATGACAATAAATGTAGTAATTCATGTTGATCCTTTAACATTTATTTATATACCTTTATAGTGGGGACAGGGGGCAGGTGGGGAGGGAACCTGTAGCCCACCAGATGGTGCTGGACTCCAACTCACATCAGCCCCACCCAGAGCAGGCAGTGATCAGGGTTATGGGTGTTGTAGAAGACACAAGTTCCCCATTCTTGCTTTATAGCCTGTCTTACTCTGGCACTTTAGAAACCACATGATATATGATGAACCTAAAGTGGCAAGGTACAGATGCAGTTGCATACAACTAAGCAGACTTTGTGCTAAAGCAAAAACAGCAACAACAATTCATGTCTTGTGCCATAAATGGGTGTAGTTCTAGGCCTCTTCAAA